GGGCACCTTTGATGGCAACTGCAACGGATTTCTTTAACGAGTTTACTAATTCGTTCTTTCTATGTCAGCAGCAATGCTGTGGCGACAAGTTCTAAGCGGTGATATCTGCTTTAGTTGACGGTGTCCCGCGCATGTCACAGCGCTGTCGTTATCCGCATGTCGTACAAACCTATAAAAACCCAGTGGGACATTCTGTACTGTAATCGAATCGAATCTAATCTCGATACAAGAAAAATTCCATAAATATTAACTAACTATAATATTTACTTTGCGGAATGTCGAAACGAACAAAAAACTGGTATAAACTAAATAGGTCGTCATTAATTCGATTCGCTAAATGTAAGAGATCTTAAGTTTTTAAAATAAAAAAAAAAAATATATTTAACTGGTCTAAACTTTGTGAATTCAATCTTGGTAAATTGAAGATCCAATTTTAAAAAGAAAACTGGGTACGGTTTTGTATCGATTTCAACTCTCAACTATCTTTATGGCTGCCCTCAATTATTTTTACTTTTTCTTAAGCTCAAAAATAGTGAAGAGAAAAATTTCGAATAGAAGATCTCTATACGTATATTCAAAAAGAAGTATAATATCAATCGGTTATTCACATACTTTCTTGTTTTGTATGCAGATCGATAATTTCAGGAGTGAGCTGAAAAACAGTTAACAAACGAATTTCTCAATCGAAATGTCGTACCAACTCGCAAAAGCCTAAAACGGAACTAGTTATAATAGGGTATAATCTGAATGTTCGAAATATAAGAATATTGTAGAAATAATTGGGATCTGCACTTTGTACCCAGTTTTTGGACGAGTTTGTACTGTCATTATTGTGTTAGAAAATTTTTACAATTGACGGAAAAAAGAGTATATAGACCTGAGCTTTAACCTTCCTTCTTCCCATTATCCATATATATGATCTCAACAGGTTATTCAACCCACTTGCAACAAGCATATGTATATCTTCTATTAGAATCTATATAATTGTCCAGACGGACTTCCCGTTGGGTTACCATAAAACTATACATATACCTACAAATACTCCTTGTCTGGAGTATCAGAAAGGGTGCGACTACAACAAAAACCAAATAAAAAATAACAGGCATACAAAAGTGACAAGAAGACAAGATTGTCAATAGCAACAACCGAATAACCAAATAATATTACTAATAGTTGGCACAATATAGCGTTGCTAAAGTATAAGTACAAACATATACACCCATACACACACACACTTAAAAACATATGTAAGTAAGAGCACCGATCGTGGCAATGAGTTCAGCTCAAATGAAATTGTCTACAAACCCATTTTATGACCTGGTTCGGTCTCCTTTCATAATACATATCTACCTATATATGTATGTATGTAGGTACATACATAAGCGACTGTATGTGCAAAATCGTGAGTAGTATGTTGCACCTCACCAAGTTTACCATTAAAATGCGTGAAATCGAAATCTGTATTTTCAAGTTTTATGACTTTACATTTAAGCGACCAGTGACTAAAGGGCCGACATACGATGACTATAAATGTTCATTAATACTAGGGGGAAATGTGAGGTTAACTTGAATATTTTTATTAGTGGTTAAAAAGGCAGAGTATAAGGTTTAGGAACTCAGTAAAAAGTAAAAATATAACGAAGAAAGAAAAATAATATGAGTTGAAAATTAATTTAATAAATCTTTGGGACCAACTACTTGTTTACTTCTTTTGAATTATAAGTTGTATCTTAGCCACATTCCCTAGAGAGCTTAAGAAACTGTGCAAATGTTTTAAAAAGTACACAATATTTGGTTCTCGGTATGCACAACGACGAGAGGGTCTTAAAATCGGCTCTAACATAATCAGACTAAACAGAACGGAATGAACAATTTTGAATTAAATAATAACTTAAACCTACTTATATATGTTATATGAAGAGATACAATTCGATCAACAAAATCGACTTGTATTGGTTTAAGAGTAAGGTGGACACCATCCATGCAAACCTTTCTTATCTGTAAAAATTCTTGAATGAAATGATGACCATTGATATTAACTGAAACTCACTTTTTTCAATTGTAAACAAAAATTGCAGATGTAGCATTACTTTGAGACATATAACTTGAGAACGATTGAATGAAATATCATGAAACTTTGACAGTATTCTAATTAATGTTAGTGCTCTAAGACAGGGATAAAATCTTTTTGTTAGTGGCGCGATGTCTTGGTCAGGCCAAAGGCTTTTCAGTCCATATAAGACCGTCTTTATCCTTGTGAACTATTTTGATAGTGGAAAATCGCATCAGAATCCATTAAATTATATGTGAAAAAATATAACTGCTCTTTGAAAACTAGAATTTTAGGCATTTAATAAACCAAATGCTATGTATGTATATATGTATAAATGTGGTACCCACTTAAATGACGAAGATATTTTAGATATCACTCATGAGTCATTGGTAAATGGTAACAGGCTCGGCTTTACACACATATCATTGTAAATTTATGAATATACATATTTATGTACACATGTATAAAGGGAAAAAAGTAAGCCCTACTCAATGTATTTAAGATGAAAATAAAATATCGCTAAGTTGAGTAGAAATTCGACATTCTATCAGCATTGTGCAACGAAATTTAAGGTAGCAACAGATAATATATATTTACATACTTAACTAACCAAACTACTCACTACAAAATGATGGTAGAAACATACGAGTTGAGTGGAAAAAAGCTTAGGGACATACAAAGTAGAAATAGCAATGCATTGCCAGGATCGACTTTATGCACACATACTTACGTATAAATATATTACTGAGATACATACACACACATTTACACAATAAAGATGCACTTGCACGAACACACTTAGTTGAACATGACTTTAATCATGTGCTACGAAGTTGTGCAGTTTCTGCGAGTCACATAAAAATGGAGTGCAAAATGGAAAAAAAATGCTGCGCATGTGTTAGTTAGTGGTGTGAGTGAAATAGAGGAAACGCAACAATGCACATTTCTCTTACATTTCCTAACTCTGATCTCGATTTGCTATTTGTGTGGTTATGGCGCTGAATGTGGAGAAAAGCGAGCTCAGTGCATTGAGTCAGCGAACCTTTTCGGCCACACTCGCTCTTACAAATATATGCCAGTTTAAGTATCTGCTGTAATACGCACGGAGAGCGGGTGAGCTAAGTTTGCGCTGCGTTGGTAAGCGAGTCTTGCTGTATGTAAAAGATACAAAGCAGGGTTGCCAAGATAAACTGTTTATACATTTTTTTCATGAAATGTGTTACTAATATAGAATTTTTTAGAATTCATGATATTAAAAAAAAGAGTTACAAAGCATATGTATATAAATAAGGAAGGATTAAAAAAATAGTAAAGCATGGGAATATCTACCATTATTTTATTTAATAAAATTGAAAGTGAAATTTCAAATTTTTTTGAACCCAAGAACACTATTCGTTTTAAAGTAACAATATTGGATGAAAATCACATCAATAAACTCCTTCGTTTATATTTAAGTTTAATTTTAAAAAATTGTCGGAAGATTTGAGTAGGAGATGATACATTGTATAATATTCAGAAGAATGTTTGAACTATACAAGTTTTAATATTATAAATAAATATTATTAAAGTTTAAATAAATATTTTAATACAGATCAAACAAGTTCTGTGTTGTCAAGAATTTATAATAAACAAAGATACATACATACATGCTAGTTGGGGAAATATAGGTTCGAAATTCTAGATCCAAATAAGAATTATATAATATTATCGAACATAAATTTATAACAATTATCGCGCTATTTAAGAATGAAACTGTAGAACCGACCTTTTGAGATTACGCACATACTTTTCACGAGTTATAGAAAGCTTGACTAAAACTATTAAAACAAGAAAAACCGTTAGCTTCCGCTGTATTAAAACTATAATAACCTTCACTGCTGCATTTTTTATAGAATATATAAAGAGATCATTCCCTTGAATTTGATCGATCAGTTTCATTGGCAGCCATGTGCTATAGTGGTCCGATCCCAACTATATGTTCGGAAATTATAGCACTGCCTTGAATAATAATATGTACAAAATTCGGGAAGAATAATTTGATTTTGATCGGCAAGTTTGTACGACAGCTATAGCTTATACCCGATATCGACGATTCTGACAAAAAAACAGTTTCAGCTCAGATAATAGCTCGCGTTTATACAGGCGGACAGTCCGACGGATATGGCCAAATGGACTCAGCTTGTCACGTTGATCATTTATATGTACCATATACGTATAAACTTTAGAGGGTATCCGACGTCTTTCTGGGCGTTATAAACTTCATGGGTATAAAACAAAAAATATACTAGCATGTAGCAGCAAAACAACCTTTGCAAAATTAAAATACTTGGCAACCCTGCTCACTGCCATCAGCTATTATGTATGGCAAGGCAGCGATGTTTCCGTTGCTGTTGCCGTCGAAGTCAGCGTCGTCGTCGAGGTTTTTCACTCAGCGTGGGTTTTATGAGCCGCTCATTGAAAGTACATTCACCAGTGTGATTTGAGAAGGCGAAAAGATTGGTAGAACTAGTCGGACGATATATATCCGCAAACACGATCAAAGTGACACAGCATACACTGTGTGTCCGTAGTGTCACCAACAATAACAACAAAAAAAAAGAACGCAAAAATACCAACTCTACATTTTTATCAATAACTTCATTACTCAGCAGTAGAGTTAACAAACCAACGAACTAAGCGACCAACAAGCAAACCAGCAGTCAAGTCCAAGTCAGCTACAAGCCAGGCACAGTAGCAAAAACGTCCATTTGTAATTTTTTCCATATGTAATTGCAATACACACGCACGCGACGGAGTTTTTGTTTTTGATTTTTAGAAAAGCGTAGACTGAACAGAAGCTGCTGTGCGCATTAAAAAAAATTTTATATATAATAATAAGAAAATAATATTAAAGTGAACGGCATGATTTGAAAAGTGTTGGAAAAAAAATTAACTCAAAAAGGTGAAAAAAGTTTAAATAAATTTTAGAAATTTTCCAAAAAATAATTTCGCAGCTAGTAAAATATATATGTATATGTAAATGGCCACACTATACAGCTAAAGAGCTTCGAATAGAAAAGGTAAGGTTAAAACTAGTCTCAAAATAATATGAAGATAAATAAATTATTTTATGGCTAAAAAGTGGTAGAGCGCATAAGAAATTCGCAAAAAGTTGGGTGAGGATTTGCATAAACGAAACAATAGTAAAGTAAAATAAAAAAAAATACGGCATTTATATTCATCAATAATCAAAAAAAAGAGAAAGAAAAAATAACAAAAAGTTATGTGTTAAAAGCAAACGCTGGAAACCATGCAAAATAACCAAGAACATCTCGTTTGGAGTTTGGGTCATAAACCACTCCAACAGCAGAAGAACACACAGCCACTAGTAGAAGCGGTCACACCAACACCAAAGCAACATCGCGCCGCTTTCTATGCACAAAAACAATAGCAGTGAGGAGAGTGGCATCACGCGCTGCAGAAGCTGTGGCAGAGCTAATATGTTGCGGCAGCACGGCAACACTGCCGGCTACAGAAATTCTCTTTTAGTAACGGAGAGACAAAACTCAAAACCAGTTTCGAAATTCTGGAAAGGCACGAAACACACAAAAACAAAAAATGAAACTGAAGCATTCAAAAAGGAGTGCAACACATGAGAATTGCGCTCAGAACTCGTACCTTAAGACACACATCCACATGCGCATTCGTGCAATTGCAACATGTAGCATACAATGTTGCCTCACATATAATCATATGTACATATGTATGTAGTATATGAAACATATGGTTAGAACAGCAGAGAGCGAGGCAGCGTAGCGCGAGAGAGTCGACCAACCTTTAAAACGAGACTATGAGGTAGTGCCTCGTAAAAGCAGTTAGCAACATTTCAAATACAAAAGGAGAGCAAAAGTCGTAAATATTAATAGAACTGGAAATGAAACGTTCGCTTTGACACCTTCAAAATGTACAAAAGAACTGTCTGTCTGCTTGTAGGGTCTCTGTAGGTTCAAGTTGTGAGCGATATACATACAAACACATAAGGTGGTAACTGCTGAATAAATTATGTGTATGTATGCACTTGCGTGCATGTGTGTGTGTGGTGAATGCAAATTTCTGATCTTGAATAGCAGTAATGCAAAGCAATGAAGCAAAAAGAATTAAAGAAATATGAAAAAGACTTTTGAAAAGTGTCAGGTTCAAGCACCCATATAACATACATATTTATGTATGTATAAAAGCAATATTTTTGGTGTGTAGGTGTTGTGAAAACATTCTATTATGTCGTAGAAAGTGCTGAAGGGTTATCTTTAAAAGGCAGCTACAGAATGCCTACAAGCCCACATACATACTTATATATATTTACTAAGTATGTGTATGTAGGACACAATGACGTTTAAATATCGATTGCTTTTGATATTTAAATTCGAAATAAATTAGTCAGTCAGGTCAATTTGTATACATATTACAATATATATAGCTGCCATACAAACAGAACAGCTATAGTGGTGATCTGAACAATTTGTTGGGAGAATGCTCCGCCTTTTTTGAAGAATACTCCATGCAAAATTTCCAGAGAAATTCGTGAAGATATCTTGCCAAATAAAAAAAGTTTTCCATACAAGGACTTGATTTTGATCGATCAGTTTGTATGACAGCTCTATGTTATAGTGGTAGTCCGATATCGGCGATTTCGACAAATGAGCTAATTTTTGGGGAGAAAAGGATGTATGTAAAATCAGAGCGATATCTCAAAAACTGAGGGCCTAGTTTGCGTATACTTATGGTATACAGACGGACGAACATGGCTATATCGACTCAGCTCATCACGCTGACAATTTAAATGTATATATACTTTATAGGGTCTCCGATATTTCTACCCGGGTGTTACAAACTTTATGAAAACTTGACCCTGATCATTTTGAGAAATTGAAGGTTGTATATTGTTGATCTGTTAGTGCTAAATCTTTTAATTGGAACTGTAAAATTGATAAATACAATACATTCACACAGAAAAATTCACAAAAAATCAAAAATTTACGACCGATGACTGTGGTGTTAAAACCTTTGAAATACCTACCATAAATTTTGTCGCAAGCTATTTTTAAATAAATCGTTAAAAAAATAACTACTTAACTCAACATATTTGTACTAAAATACTCAATAAAAAACTATATTTTGAAAATGATAACAACGAAATTTACACTTTTTATCTCAGGAACGGTGGGCCTTTTAAGAAAAAAAGTGTTATTCATGATTTTCAATTTTCGTCTAAGATAATTTTTTGATAAAACCCTTTGACTTCGAGTAAATTTTTTTTTCACATACAGGAACGATGAGGTGTTTTAGTATGTTGTTTTATTTAACTTTTGAACATATTCACTAACTTTAAGCTTGTTGTAAGTGTATGTACCCTCACCTTATTTTGTGGCCTTAATTGACCGGACTATTATGAAAATTAAAACTTATTAAATTATTTATAACTATATTTTCAGTTTTTTTGTAAACTAAAACATTGAAGAAAAATCTATTTTTTTACCAAACTAAAATCTTTTATTACAAAAAAATGGTTTGCCATTATTTCATAAAAACCGTTAATAGAAATCCCGTTGCCAACAATATTCTATAGATTCAAAACACATGCACCTTTATTGCAGTTTATTTTCACTTATGACTGCGACACTTTTTCAGGCGAACGCATTAACCGATTTCATTACACGGAAATCATACCATAACTGATTCAAAAAAAAAAATCTGAGTCATAATATCTTGTAAAAAGAAATTCCTAGAAGCGGAAAACCAACGCCTGGTCAATGAGGTCTCTGAAAAGTGCCTTCTCAGCACTAATTATAGTAAGTGTGCGTAATTCAGATTATGCTTTAGCTCTGACTTCTTAAATAATTGGATAAAAATAAATGAACTGCTGTGATTATATACAATATATATTTAGGTGATGCACTTCTGGGTAATAGATAAGTTGTAGTCACTCTATTATGAGGAAATTTGCGCAATAATATGGATGCTACAAAAACAAATAGTTGAGTAAATATTCTTAAAAACAAAAAAAATACAATTAAGGATCACTATCAAAAGTTATATACATATGTATAGGCAAATTCCTTGCACTCACTGTGTGAAATACTGAGCATTATAAGCTATATACTCACGAGTCTTTAGGTTACAAACTCTCACCACTCAATAGCTCACTCAGTATTACTGTGGGAAAATAATGTCTAATTATAAAATCACAACAATTATTATGCAATCTAATGAGGCGTTAACTACTGAATGGGTTCAATTGACAGTGCATGCGAAAAGTATGTTTAAACACACATAGAACCAAGCGTTACAAAAGCCGGCATTATTTATACGAAAGTGTGAAGTAAACAAATTATTAGAATAAACTTACATACATACATATGTGTATAAAAGTAATAATTGTTTGATCAAAAGCATTTATGTAATAATTAATTTTAGCCATTTTTATTTGAATACTATTTATTTTTATATAATGTTATTTATATTTTGGTTTATTATTGCTATTTTTACAGTTAATACGCATGCGAAAAGAGGAATAACGGGTGTTGTACGTTGTATAAGAACACTAAACTTGGTGAAAACATAAATCGTGCTTCTGCAGTTACTTATTAAGTTAAATCAAGATGGCGCTTTTTGGGATGGTCTCGGCTGTTTCGGGCTTTATAAAAATTCGAAATCTCTTGGATCGTGCGGTTATCGATAACATGGTCTTTCGTTGCCATTATAGAATTACAACAGCGTTATTGTTTGTTTGCTGCATTATTGTAACGGCAAATAATTTAATTGGTGAGTATTACTTTGAAAAAAAAATCATTTGAAGGCAACAATAAATAATATATATACAATAAATAATAATAATAAAATACAACTGAATTCATTACAAGAGCAAGAGGGAGTGGTATCATCTCGAACGTGGTATCAATCATGGTATTCTATTGAAATTTACTTGAAGTTAGTTAATTGTTCGATTCGGTAATATTTGAAAAGTGGCTCAGTGACAGCCAACAAACCAACAAAATTAGATGAGACAATATAAAGTACAAAATGAAAAAAAAAATTAATAAAAGTTTTAATAGCATAAAAAATATATGCCATAAAATTAAAAAAAAAAAAAACAAAGAAGCAATCAGGACATTAGCAAATTTAAATCAGATCAGAATAATAAAGTAAAGAATATTATTAAAAATAAACATAAGTAATAAACATAAAAAAAAATTTAAAAAAATATAAAAAAATTACACAATATTTCACAATATAGATAAATATTTAATAAATTTTATGATATACTTTTTTCAATTTATACAAAATTTCATAAATTAAATAATGTATAATAAAAATTGCAAACACACAAAAATTAAAACTAAAAATAATATACTTATACAAATTAAATTTAAAAAAATATAAATAATTGTAAAGTGGAATAAATAAAAATATTTTTTTTATTTAATTCAAGCAATTCTAAAATTAATAAGTAAATACTAAAAATAGACATAAAAGCTAACGAAAATTAATTATTATATAATAAACAATTAATTCAAATAAAGTGGAAATAAAGAAAGTAAATACAAAAGTTATTTAACGTTGTATTTAAAAAACCAAACCAAAAAAAAAAGGATTAAACAAAATTGAAACGAAAAAAAATTTATTATTTACAAGAAAACAAAAAAAAATATATATACGTGCATACGTATGTACATATATATAAACCAATAAAAAATGGCCACAAAAAATTAAAAATCAGACGAATAGATTCCATGTGAATTAATAAAATAGTATATAGCTAAAATTGTTAAATAAATATTTGAATTAACATCTATAAACAGGCTAATCCAAACACGTTAACCTAAATCAAATATTTGTATTCAGATACAATGCAGCAATAAATTAGCAAGTTCACACATAAAACGTAAATCGAATTTGATAACTGCAGGAAAATATACGGGATGACAAAAGATCTAGAGTGAAAAGCGTGACTTCTTATGAATTGGCGGCGACAAAAAGCCGCAAACACACACACGTGTGAATATAATATGTATGAAATGCATGCGGAGACGCGAGTTCGATTTATGCTAGGCAATAAACTTTCACCATACATAAACAAATATGCGCTCACATACAAACACATACATACAGTTGCAATTGCAACGCCCAAGTCACCCATAACGCTGACAAAACTAGATAAGCTCCCGCCTGCAGCTTTGCACTGAGCGCATTTCAGCGTTTTACACCTTTTTAAGATACTCACAATGCATTTGGCGCAAGCGTTTAGTAACGGTGTGTAAATTGAGTAGAGCACGTTTTTTAAATTTTTTTTTTAAGTTTTTATTTATTCACTTATTGTTCTTTTTATTTGTTAGCTAACGAATTTTGCGCAAAACTGCACAATTAGCAGAATGCTGCGAGTAGTCGGTAAAAGTGAACAACGGAGCGCTGCAGGGTGTTGCCAGAGAGGTTATTGATTTATTGTAATATTAAAGTGTATTTGTCAAATTTATTTTCGAAACACAATTGTTGTTAAGCGACACTTTTGTGAAATTATTTTTGTTTGCTAAGTTGCTATTGTTGTTTTTTTTTTTTTTTGTTTTGTGAAATCGATATTTGCTTTAAAATTTCGCAAAATATCAGTTGCAAACAACAAAAAGAAAAATAGTGATCTCAGCTGTTTCTACTTAAGATCTAAACGCCATATACATATACTCGTATGTATTACTATATGAATATATACATATATTTATATGTATGCAGTCATGCAAATACCGCGCTTGAGCGAAACCTCGATTTCATCTAAATGTAATATGATAAGTGAGTTTCGTTTTTTTCTCATTTGTTTCGCTTTTGTTTTCCTTTATTGCTTTTAACATACAGTATATATTTGTGTATATATTTATGTATATATACCTTCCTAAGTGCCTAAAACTATGTAAGTGTGATTTTTTTTTATTTCTTCTGACGAATCAACGGGTTGAATGTCACGTAAATGGCGCAAACCGCAAACTTTAGTGATTTATCTGAATTTATAAGGGTATTGTAGCACGATGTGGAGCATGAATCATATAAAATTATCGAATTTGCTAAAAGCCTTAAATTTACAATATACATATGTATGTATAGCAGAATATCAAAACTTTATTTTTTTAAACTGTTTTGGGATTAAATTAAATTTTTAATCTCAAATCAGAAAAAACGTCAACTTCGGTTGCATTGAAGCTAGAATATCCTTCAAAAATAAAAAGCTTTCCGTATAAGAACTAGATTTTGCTCGTTCTGTTTGTATGTCAGCTACATCATATAGTGCTCAAATCTAAAACAATTTTTCAGATATATTAGCGTTGCCTTGGAAAATAATCCATGCCGAATTAGGTGAAGAAATCCTGTCAAATAAAAGAGTTTTTCATACAATAACTTAATTTGATTGCTCAGTTTGTATGGCAGCTATGTTACATATTATAGCGGTCCAATATCGGCGGCTCTGACAAATATGCAGCTTTTTGAGGAGAAAAAGATGTGTGCAAAATTGCAGATCGATATCCCAAAAACTGAAAGACTAGCTTGCGTATATACAGACAGACGACTTTGTGGCAAACTTAATAAACCATGTTTAGGGATAAAATATAAATCGTTTGAATGTGTAAGTCTGCCGACCAGTAATAAAGAGCATTGAATGAATGCTCTTGGCTAGTCTTGACAGTTTAAGAAAGGTGTGTTAGTAAAACTGTTTCGCATAAAGAAACTTTAAAATCTTAACTGAGGAAGAATATTTTTTGCCATTTTTCATAAAACCTTACAATTTTGGGAGAGTTGAGAAACAGAAATAAAGAAACACATTGCTAAAAGAGAAAATTTTAAAATTGTGAAAATGTTCGACCAATTTAAATGCAATGCTATGTTTCGTATTGGTTCTGGCTACTCATGAAGTCTTGACAGTTTTTTCAGAAACCAATTCAAATGCGATTTTTTCGCAGTATTAATAAATTTTAAAACCATTTCACAAACTAATTCTAAGCCACCCCCTTAATTAATCCCCTGACGACTGAAGACAGCTATGCTAATGAGCAAATTAAAAAAAAAAAACTAATATGTGATTAGTTGAAGTTCTGGATACAACAAGCGCTAGCATTTTGAAGCAGAAAAAATTTGGTGTTGGAGCACTTGCGTTCATGAAAAGTAAAAAAAAAAAACTTAAAAAATATCTCAACGCACATATGTAGATAAGCATGCGATCCTAATGGAGAGGCACTTCCTAAAATTCGGATCGGCTGCGTCAGTTCCAAATTGGCTTAGCAGTCATCAAGCAAAGAGAAAAATTCAAAATAATAAGGGACAAGTGCTAAGCCATGGTTGCACTCTATATGCAATACCTTTCGTATGTACATACTCGTACATATATGTAAATATTATATATATATCATACATACATACGCAACTGCGTTCGATGTACATACATAAGTACATATATTTGTAACTGCTTGACACACAATGTTTATTTATTATTTTTCACTGCATATCTGTGAGTGGTTTGGCTCCATATTTTGCTGGTAAGCCACCAGCGAGTCGCTCGGCAACTCAAAAAATCAAAACTGGATTTCAGCATGCATGCATATTAATTCAGAGATAAGCATGTACGGTTGTATTCATGTCTGCCCATATTTTATTTTGTCAGCAGAAAAACTCAAATAAAACAATTTTAGAAGTGTACAAAAGTTAGACGCTACAAAAAGAAACCAAAAAATCAAAAATACCAGAAAAAAAATTATTATTTTTCGAATATAATATAAAATTTTGCTAGTATAATAAAACCAAAAACACTGAAATTTAGTGCACTCAGCTCATATCTGGTTAGGGCGTGCAAGCTGAACATACAATAAAAAAAAATAATAATAAATAAATACATAAAACACTTAATAAATAGGCAAATAAAAATCAAATTAAATACAAAATGTATATATGTATGTATCATTCAAATATAATATATATATAGATATATGCATTATATGCAACTGACCGGTCTACAGTGCAAGCGTTCTTGATGTAAAACTTTTTTTATTTATAATATTTAAATTTTTATAAAAATCAGCCGATAGGCACATATGAGTTTCAAATACATACATACATACATTTAAACCACATACAAGTAAGCGGAATGATTAAATGTTACAAGCCTTTGCACTTGCATCATACATACATACATTATGTATATGTGTAATTGAGCATGTTAATTTAAATATTCTTAAGCCTTACGAGTAAATCGTTTTAAGCCCAGCTTAGCCCAATCACACGCTTCTTAATGACGCCGCGTGGGCGGATTAAATCACAGCGTCTGCGTAAAATTTAAATACGAGTGGATATTAGTCGACACAGCGGGCGAGTGTATCAAGTGGAATATTTCACATATAAAAACATAGGCACATACACTTACGTTTATATACATACGTATATATGTACATATATACATATGCATATATACATATGCAACTTAGTGCATGGAGCAGTCGCTTAAACGTGTAATACTTTTAGGTCAACTATGAGATAAACAAGAAAAAACTTTGACTTCGGCTGAACCGAAGCTATAATACCCTTCATAGGTAAAAAAAAAGTTTCCATACAGGAACTTGATTTTTATGGGTCAGTTTGTATGGTAGATTAATGATATAGAGGTCCAATCCAAACAATTTGTTCGGAGATTGTTCTGCTGCCTTGGACAATACTTTTGTAAAATTTCGTGAAGATATCATGTTAAATAAAAAGGTTTTCCGTACAAGGACTACATTTGAAAAATTTGTTGGAAGATTGAATCGTTGCCTATGACAATCATCCGTGCCGAGTTTCGTGAAGATATCTTGTCAAATATAAACGATTTTTATACAAAAATTTGATTTTGATCGTTCAGTGTGTATGGTTTCGACAAATGAGTAGCTTCTTGGATAGAAAAGGACGTGTGTTTCAAATCGTTATCTCAAAAACTGAGGGACTACTTCGCCACAGACGGAAATGGCTAAATCGACTCAGCTCGTCACACTAATCATTTATATATTTTTTAAATGATCTCCGACGAATTTCGTCTATTGCACATTCACTATAACTACAAGTGAAAATATATGATTTGAAAATTGATTTTTTTTAAATCTCTGGACTGAAGTGTTTGCGAAAAGAAATAAAAAATTTTAAATCCTCTTGAGGTGATATACCCCAAAAACATTCTTGTTTAATAAACCTATTGAGAATTACAGCGTTACGTTAAATAATAAGAACAATTTGTGGTCGCTGAAACAACATGAATCGAAAAACACTTGTGCGTACTTTGACCAGAAAAAGTTCCTCAAAAAATGTTTGTGGGTATCATATTATTCTTAAACCTCTTCTGGTCGAGTCTCTGATCTACTAACTACTTTAGCAAAATAATTATAATTTTTAAATAAATCATAGTTTTTTGATTTATGCTTCCTTATGTAAATGCCACAAAGTGCGGCATATTTCTATACGCCGGCATACCATTAATTATTAAAACTCAATTTTACGACAAAATTTTACAAGAAAATTACAGGAAAAAAAAAAAATTTCAAATAAAAATTATTTTTCAGGCGATCCTATCGCATGCATCAATGATGGCTCCATACCAATGCATGTCATCAATACATTCTGTTGGATTACATACACGTTCACCATACCCGGTCAGCAGCACCGTCAAATTGGCACCGATGTCGCAGCACACGGCCTGGGCAATGAATATGGACAAGAGAAGCGCTATCACAGCTACTATCAGTGGGTGCCATTCGTGTTGTTCTTCCAGGTGAGTGGACACAAATTTACGCGTGAAAATTAAATTAATTTTTTGTTTGTTATTTTTTAAATTTTAGGGACTCATGTTCTATGTACCGCATTGGATTTGGAAGAATCTGGAAGATGGCAAAATGCGCAATATCACCGAAGGTTTACGCGGTTTCATTACTATGCCCGAAGATTACCGCAAAGATCGGCAAGCGCGCATCTTGAAATACTTGAAGGATAGCTTGAATTCGCATAGCAGTTACTCGTTTGCTTACTACTTCTGTGAGGCCTTGAATTTCGCCAATGTTGTGCTGAATATCTTTTTGGTGGATAAATTTTTGGGTGGCGCTTTCATGACGTACGGCACCGATGTGATCAAATTCTCAAATATGGATCAGGAGCGTCGTTTCGATCCGATGATTGAAATATTTCCACGCTTAACGAAGTGTACTTTCCGCAAATTCGGCCCGGGCGGTTCACCACAGACCCACGATACGTTGTGTGTGTTGGCATTGAATATTTTGAATGAGAAAATTTACATTTTCTTGTGGTAAGCTGTTGATGGTGTTGCTAGTTATGATGACAAACTTGTAATTTTTTTTTATTTTAACAGGTTCTGGTTCATCATTTTATCAGTGCTCTCTGGCTTGGCTTTAATTTACTCACTTACCGTTATAATGATGCCGACTACACGCGAAACCATTATCAAACGCTCGTATCGTACGGGACAGAGCAAGGAAATCCAATTTTTGATACGCCACTTGGATGTGAGTTTTGGAGAATGCAGTTATATATATATATTTTATTTATATATGTATATTAGTTTATTGAATTTAATAATAACTGATCCATTTTTGCATTTGCACAGATTGGCGACTTCTTGGTTTTGCACTTTTTGGGACAGAACATCAGTACAAAATATTACTGTGACTTGGTACAGGAGCTTTCCCGTCAACTCGGTGCTTCGCGTACTCCATCTGCGCCCTCCACCTTGGAGATGCATCCCATGTATCCGCAAGTAGATCGATTCGGCAAGGAGACCGAGACATAAATTCGTGCACAGTTGGCGGAAGGGAGCAAAAAAGGGCAAACAAAAACCGAAAATTGAACAAACAAGCTAAAAATTAATGACTAGAAAGTTAAAACGCCCTTAAAAACTACAAAAACAAAACCACATAGGCAAGCAAATGGAAAAACGAATGAAGAGACGAAATCGCTAACAGCAGTCAGCGCTCGTAGTTCTGCTGGTTACTGTCAGCTTGACACTTCGCGCGAAAACATCCCACTACTCAACTCAATGCACCTGCGCTCCACTACAAATAAAAAAAATCGAAAAACAAAAAACCACAGCAATAACGGCAAATACTGTGTGTTTTAAAATACTGGCAAAGCAGTAAATTTTAAAAGCACAAAATTAGCGGAACTTCGATTTCGAAATAGCGGAAAGCAATAAATATTGCCAAAAAGACAAATCATAGAATTTTTATGTGTTAAAGGCATACCTTACGAGTCCAAAATTTATTGCTCCAAGCCAATACACGCAGAACTTATACTTGCTATGATATAATATTGATAATTGTGAAGCCGTAATCCCCTTTTCCATTTTCACAACTTTTTAACTTTTTATATGCGCATTTCTTATACTTACATATACTATGACTTTTTAGTACATAAATTAAATATTGTAAGCATTTAGATTTTACTTGAATGATCTTTTACATACCATACATACATACATAAATATTAAAAGCTGGAAATTTGTTTAAGTTAAATCTTAAAAGAAAACAACAAAAACAAAAAATAAAAAAAAATACAATTAGTATACATTTGATAAAGTGTTTAGATAAGCTAAAGTTTAGAAATTCATGTACGAAAATGCGAATATTGTGATTGTTAGGGAGACTTCTTTAAATAAATTTTTCTATTTTATGAAGCGATAATCAACAGCTATTGTGTATTCATTAAGAAATTATATGTGGTGTTGTAGTGATCCGTTCCGCTCGCAATCTTGGCAAATACTTTATATGTAAAAGTAGAATTTAATACGTTAATTTTTTTCTTGATATTTAAATTTTTTTAAGTCGAAACATTTTCTATTGGATTGGCGTCTGGTGTCTGTGGGGGCCAATCTAAAGTAACACTACGGTTTTCTTGTTTCCATTGAGTGCTGAGTCTGCTCCTATGTTTTGGATCATTTTCTTTTTGCAGTATCCAATCATGGCTTTTTTTGTCGTAAAGCTGACTTTAGGAAACCATTTTTATACAATTTTATCGTTCTAACGGCGTTTAGATCTCCAGTGAGGCCCCTCAAAACCCCATATTCATGAGCAGAGTAGCATCCATAAACAATAAAATGTAAAATCACCAAAAACTTGAGAAAAATAACAAAAAAGAAACGAAATTGCGAAAGCGTTAGATCACACACCAATTACTGCCAGTTTCTTTGATCAACTGGTATAGTTTATTCGATTCGGTAGTCTCTATCTAGTGCAACTTCATTGGAGATGAATTTCGACTTAGTCCAAAATTTCCTTAGCAAAAATAGAAATTCAAAGTAGGGGGTGAGTTACCATATTTGACCGCGACAATAATATCTTTGACAAACTCAGCACATGAATAACGTTTAATTTTTGTTCCTTAGGTAGGCTGCAACCTACTGCATCTATGCCACTATATTGGAGTAGCGTAATTGATGGCCGGCCGCCCGATTGCCTTGTAAGTGGCCAGCAATGGTTCTTTGTTCTCACCCCAGGTGCCACCGGCTAGCGATTTGAGGATCTTGTTGTGCCTCAGACTATCAAACGTAGTTCTCAAAATGTTGGGGTTTTTAACTGTTAGAGTTTTAACGTCATCGACATAAGAGGTCTAGTCTGTATTCCTTCGTCCAGTTAGTGAATATGGTCGGAGTGAAGTTATCATGGGGGAGTGTTAGGCTCATTGCAATGAAAAAGCGAGAAAGGTTAATGTAAAAAAATAATAATAAAATATAAAAGTTTAAAATATATAGCGCTCAACCGTTTTTATGTTTCTAAAATTATTGGTTATAAGTGTCTCATATTTTTAATTGGAAGTGTCAGTGGACACCGTTATATACCAGAGTAAAAATTTTAAAGCTCTGTGTTTTTTCATTTCACTAAAAAAATCCGAAAAAAATTAAAAAAAAACGGACGGCCGTTACATGGGGTGGCCGCCTTACCACGCCAAATGAAAAAGTGGTTTATTTAAAAAAAAAAAAAAATATTGCCCACTTTGCGGCCCTGTTTTCCGAAACGTAAGAAACGTTAGGTATACAAATTTATTTCCGATCTTTATAAAACCGTTTCAAATGGTGAAAATTAGGAAAGATCTCAGAGTTGTTGATTTATTTTATATTTAATACATATATAGAAATTGTACTGTATACTTGTATTCATGCATTTATTCTTAAGCATTCACTTACCGATTTCCCCAATCAATGCGCGAAACAACCAATGTTTGCAATTCCAATGTTTGGTCTTGCGTCAATGTGGCACCTAACAGCTCGCGTCGACACTCTAAGATGGACAACATTACTTTTCGTAATGTGAGAAATTTGTACGTTTCTCGATCCTTTAGATTACGTAATTATAAAAAACAAATATATTATATAATTTTAGTTTTTTCTTCTTCATTGTACAAACCACATAGAGTTTCTTCCATATTTCCGACCATTCACGCAGGACTTGTGTACATTCGGCGACTACGGGATCAATTTTCGACAGCTCCTTAATATGTATATAGGTTTTAGGGAAGATTCCCACAGCGCGGGACTTGCGCGCACATGTGCCACGATACCAGTTTTTGCATTCTTCCAGAATTTCAACAGAATCGCCCACGTCGAGCGCCAGACCGAAACGAACATCACCATGCCAATTGTGTATGGCTGTAAAAAACGAAAGAGGTTGATATATTGTATTATTAAATATAGTCATTTAGGAAATTTATTTAGAAATTTGTTGTATAAATTCAATCCAACTAAATACTATTTTATTCTTCTACAACACTCAACCGGTTTTTCAAATTATCAACACAGCTCATCATGCTGATCATTTATGTATATATACGGTCTCCGACGTTTCCTTCTGAGTGCTACAAACTCCGTGGCAAACTTAATATACCCTGTTCAGGGTATAAGAATGCAAAAGAGTTCTAGCTTTGCTTAGAATAAAGTCAAATAATCGGTAAATATTGTAATACCTCGTTAATTGATATAAGTTGCTTCGAGTCAACATAATATTTTCACCGATAAATGGTTCGAAAAACTTATTGATTGAATCTAACCTGAAGGCTTTTTATCACGCTTTTATTAGCTTCACCTGTATGTTTTTATGTTTGAAACTTTTTTGTGTGCAAACGATAACTTGAAACTACACTACATAGGTTCCTTGGCACCTAAGAGAGGTCGGTATTGCAGATGGGCATAATCCAAACGAAATTGAAAGAAAACCTATAAAGTGCTATAACTAATCACTAAATTAAAATACCGAACTGTAATTTGGTCCCCTGGATCATGGTAATAAGGGACACCTATTGGCTGAATTTTTTTTTAAAGTCCCTGCCCATAATTGGTTTAATGTACATATTTTCCAAACCACTGAAGCTAACTCATCCAAATTTGCTGGGAAGAAGTATTTTTAGCACTCTTTTATACGCAGTAAAAATGGGTAAAATCAGAAAATAACCACTACATAAGCAATAAATTTCACAAACAAGATGGCAGGGAAGAGCTTTACAGAAGGAGGTGTAAAAATTGGCACCACAAATCTGTAGATGAAATCCTATAGCTCAGGAACTATCGAATTAATTTCAACCAAATTTGGTGTGTGACGTTACCCAACCATTCCTATCACACATTGTGAAAATAAGCAGAATCGTAGTATTTTTGACTTTATGGTTGAGCTTGTACCGTATATTATATGTATATCGGTCAACAAGTGTGATATTTTAGGGTCCAGATTTTGGTTTGACTTTTCCTCCATATACCCACCCTATTGAATTTTATCTATGATCCTTGTAAATTGCGAGATTATAAAGGTTCGCCTACAACTAAACTTAGCCTTTCCTTACTTGTTCAAATGCACTTCACTCATTTACATAAGGATATAGTATAGTTATGTCGGTGTGCATATCAGTATATGCTTTGTAAATAGTCAGCTGTAAGGTAATTTTGGTTCAACGCTCCGATAAAACAATCGCACCTTAACTCTATATATATAATTTGTCTACATTAGCTATGTACATATTTATCTACAGTCAACCCTCCTATAAGCGGTGAGTGCGTACCGCGTTATATGGAAACCAATAAGGACAAGATAAACTATAAATTATTTGTATTGAATTGAAGAGTTTCTATGAGGAAATTATGCCAAAACTAAACTAAAAAACTGTTTTCCAACAAAAACAAGGAATACTTTTGAAAATTTATTCTTTCAACACTCATCCTCACTGACAGATAATATGAGTCGCCTAACTCATATTCTTTTAATAAGCAAAATGTTTTCCTCACTTGGCGCATCTTCACGTTGGTTTTTATACTCTCGCAACTTGTTGCTACAGAGTATAATAGTCTGTTAACCTAACGGTTGTTTGTATCACCTAAAACTAATCGAGTTAGATATAGGGTTATGTATATATAAATGATCAGGATGAAGAGACGAGTTAAAATCCGGGTGACTATTTGTCCGATATATCTTTATGAAACTTGGTACACATGTTTCTTGATATTGCAGATGGGCGTAATCGGACCACTGCCATGCTCACAAAACTCCATTAATCAAAAACAAATAAATTGCCATAACAAAGCTCCACAACAAGATACAAGACTCTTATTTGGTATACAGGATCACAATAGTAATGGACATCTGCAGATATACATGATAGTGTGCGTGGCACCGCCCACTTTTAGGTGAAAACCCATATCTTGGGATCTGCTTAACCGATTTCAACCAAATTCGGTACATAATATTCTTCTCACATTTCTATGTTATAGTACGAAAATAGGCGAAATCGGATTACAACCACGCCTATTTCCCATATAACATCATTTTAAAACCTCTCTATAGGGAGCTAAGCAATTTCTTAACTTTCTTGTAAACTTTGCGCTACACACTGTTGAATGATCATGTTTCAATGAAATGGAAGTCTGATTCTTTAACCAAATTTAGACCTTTTTTCACATCTTGTAAATCGACATTTGGCACCCATTCGTTTTCCTAACAGCCCTAACGAACTAAATTGCTTAGTCTAAACATTCTTAGGCTACGCGGAGGGAACTTATGGGATGCTGTTGACGGAAACCGCGTTCTAAGAGTACCGCGTTATAGGAGGGTTGACTGTATATCTTTGCATTCTGCCTGAATGAAGCTGCGATTACAAAGCGAATGCTCCGAATGGCGCCTACTGGCAGCTTAGTCATTGCCGCGCAGCTCAAAGTGCACAAATTACAAAACAGACGCAGCGAAAAGAGGAAGGCATATATGAATATCACATAGACATACATACTAGTGGTGCGTTTGTGCCGTTATCTGCACCAAACATGTGAGAGAGCTTTGGCAATGACATTGTTATTATTCTGGAAAATCTAAACAATCGATTAGTGAATAATAGAGCTAAATAAATGCAGTCATATGTGAGACATTACTAAATGTTTACGCTTTCATGTAATACAAAAAATAAAAAATTAAGTCTGGCAAATTACTATTTTTACATTTTTCGTCATATTTTGCGATATTTACTTGAAAAGTCGATTCTTAAAGTATGACACATAGGTGTTTTCATCTGGAGGAGACAATTTTAATTGTTCTACTTGCTGGCATTGAGATATTTCTTTGGGGTGATAAGAAAAGAGGTTTGGCGCAAGAATTTCTTATATTGAAAGCATCAATGCGTCAATGGGATATGTAAATATAATTTATATCAATTGTTCAGCTTTCCTACACGAAACAGGAAATTTAATGTACAATAATCTGACAATAATCGGCTAGAATCAGGGGAATTATCTGACCTTACGGAAATACCATATAATACACACCGTCGCTGTGTAATATGGATACACTGGTACATATTCGGTCGTTCACTAAGTAATTTCATTTTTTTTGTGCAATTTAAACACGATTTTTTTATTGTGTAACGTGAACTGACGCGTTAGACAAATTTATTCTTTCAGCGATCTCTCGAGTTATTATTCGACGATTTGCACCGACCAACGACTTTATTGTATCCACATCGGCTTCAAGAGTCCTTCCAGGATGTGCTGCATACTAAAGATCGAAATTGCCGGAACGGAATTTTGCAGACCAATTTTGGTATTGACGTTCGATCAACACATCTTCTTCGACATAATTTTCGCCTTGCTTGAACCCTTTTGACAGTAAAGCCGTACAATATGCCAAAATGCTGTTTTCGATCTTTCATCTTCGATAGGGCACAAAACAAAAACTATTACACAAATTTTATTTATACCGAACGAACTTTTTACTTTACCTAATATATCAGCTGTTCAAATATATAACGGTAAAGCGGATGAATATAGTACCTTGATCAGTGCCCCAAAAAATTCAAAGTATTTGGTACTCTAGGCCTGCACTCGGCGTCTTCAACAAAAAGGGAAGCCTGTCCTACAAGCAGCAAAGGTTGTGGCCACCATTTTCTAATATACCGAAACATTGCAGCCGGCACCATTTTGCGGTTGAGGAGGCTATCACCGCCGCATGAGCATGGTTATTTATTTTAGCCATTTTCATTTCGTTTAAGGTGGTGAAATATGAAGTTCCAATGGACTTCCCAGGGAAATGAAATATATTACGTACAGCTTTCTCTCTGACGATATCCTCTTAAACTTAAATTTCGCAATTTAATTGAGTATATGTAAATTTTTTTTGCTTTGAAAAACACCCTTTTACGGACGTGGATCAAAGGGGTATTTCAACTTTAAGGGGTTATATTCACTTGTGAATTTCAAAAAAATTAATTTCTGTTTTGCGTATAACTATATTAAACGTACATATGTTTAAAAATATTATCCGAAACTTTGAAGTTGACTATTCTTCTTCATCCATATGTATAATCATATTTTCTGGTATTTGGATTTGAAATATTTTTAGGCAGAAAAAACTTCTTCACCACCAGACACCTTTTTTTGGAGGTCCTCCTGTAGATCGAGTACGGGCTCAAGGGATTATTAAAATTTTCAAAATTAATAGCCGATTACGAGTGGATATAACCCTTTAAGTGAAATGTGAATGTTTTGTTATTTATTTACTAAAGCTTTTCTCGAAAAATTTTAATACTTTTTTAATCAAACATGTACAGCTGTGTTCACAAAAATAGCAGTGCGAGAAATGCAATCAAGTAATGTTATTTTTTTTCAAGTTCCGTTACGATTATTCCAACGTCTACGCATTGTTGTTATAGAATGAAATGTGTATATGGAAGAAACGAAAAAATCCCGTTAGATTTGCAAGATTTAAGCAAATGAACAACTCTTTTTGCTAGAAGCACCAGTCTTTGGCTGTTCATTAAAATAGCAGTGCGTATTATGATAAGCCAAAAAAATTTTGTTAAGACGTTTAATTGATAAAAAGTAAGTGGTTTTGTGCTAGTGACTATTTAACATTAGAAAACACTAAAGTAAATTTATATTTTTTAACTTAGTGGGCAGGGGCAAACATTGTACTCCTGAAAAAAGAAATATTATAGTGCAACTAAGAAACCTGGGAAAAACATATAAAGACATCCAAGAAATATGTGGATGTTCTGCTAAAATGATTCATAATGCTTTAAAACTTTAAAGAAATGCCCGAAAATCGTGGTATCCAACGTGAAACCACACCTCATGAGGACCGATTTATTGTGCGATATAGCAGGGCGCAGCCTTTTGCATCG